CAGATCACCCACTCGAAGCTCCTCACTTGGCAGGTAATTCCCGCAGCTTTTTTTAACACGCTTGCGAGTATAATTATTTAATCAATGTCCCCAGTTTGAAGTTGACCGACATCACCGTCGGACTCTGTTGGTCCACACCTTGCGGTTACAATTGCGCGTCATGTCCTGCAACCGCAGAGCGGAAATGGAAACATATTTATTTCCCCGCCTACGGGGATGATTCTGCTGTCGCCATTGATTTGGACGTCACGAATGAGGTCGCTCTATTACTCGGATCCTCTTGGAGCACGACTTCCTAGTAAACGCCTATCTCAAAAAAGGCTTATCTGGGCCATCTCGTTATTATCGGCAGCAGAAAAAAACCGGACACCGACTTTAGCAGTTTCCCTGAGCGTCGTTCATTTAATGTGGCTGGCAATAACGAAAGCGAAAGGTGGCTGGCTCGGCAGAGGGGGGCGTGACATGCCAAGCTTCATAGCTTGATGAGGCGGTATACGGGTTTATGCCTACCCTGGGTGTGGCGTTATGGGCAAGAACGCCGCGAAGCCTATGTGGCCGCCGCGGAATAGCCTACCTCGGATTGAGATGCATTCCTTAGCCGGAAGTCGGACAGTAACGTCGCTTTCTATTCTTTCAATAACCGAACAGTGACTTGAATGGTATTCTATAGACTAGCTCAGACTTCGATTAACGGAGGCACTATCAACTAGCAGGGTCGGTGATACAAATCTAAACTCTATTTTTTCGCATGGGCGTCCGGTTATTTGAATGCCGCCGCATAGACCCTTCATATTTTTTTCATGATAATAGAGCTTATTTGCAGGGACTATGGTTCGCGACTTCAACAAACGGACTCATGTTGCGGACATGGGGTGGTTGGAGAATGAACTGTGATGAAGGCAGTCCGCAGCGCGTGATCGCCGGTGACAGGATCCATGAACTGGACGACTCTTTACGCATGCTTGGAGGCATCATATGTCTTAATGACATCTATTTTATCCAAATGACAACGCGAGGAGTGGCGTCGATAGCTTGCTGCGATTAGGTGATAATGCCTTTTTCATTCTGATCAGGGTGCTGTTACCTATGAATGACGTGGAAACTTGAACTTTGTCTTTCATAGGCTGATCCTAGTTGGTCAAGCGAAGAGACTCGCACGTCGCAACGCAAACGTCGTCAGATTGACGATATCGTATGATGAACGTGCGTACTCGGTTTATCACCGTATAGCAACTTACTGTACTGCATGAACAATTGAATACATCCGGGCCGATCGGAGAGTTAACTTGAATGCAAATCAGCTGCGCTGGTCGTGAAGGAGATAAAGTAGCGAGGCAACTCTCCGAGTTTGATGCCATGCTGCTTCTGCGCGTATTACACGAGGTGAAGCAATCCACACTTACATCGAATTGGCACAGACTCAACCACTTTCATCGATTTAATACCAGGCTAGTGGGCCCAGGGGCTGTGGAACACGTGCAGTTTTACAAGGAAGGTTGATTGCTATATTTGCGGCGTTAAGGCACATGGTTCACTTTGAATAATCGATCCAGGCTAACGAGCGAATAGAAAAGGTGGATGCGGCAGGCTTCTCTATGGAGTATCTCCTTAAGCGAATTTGTACACATGCTGTCGGCCATATGATGTCAATAGGGACGGGCGATCTGCAGTCACTTGGCTCAGGTAAAAGCGGCGTTAGGTGTTTCCTACTTTGTATTTGTATTTACGTCGCTAACGTCAAGCAACAAAACGATTGTGGGGAAAGTCTTCCCCCACGACACCGCAGTAACTTTTCTCCGTTGATGTAATGAGAAAAGAATATCCTGATGGAATCCTACTAGCGTCGGGACTATGATGACGGAGATTACGGAACAGGCGCTCTGGAGTTAGCGGCACTAAAATTGTCCGGGCGGCTTTCTGTTGCTTCCTCTGAAATTGATAGGCTTTCGCGGAAAGTGAGAAGATGTCGGACGGAGGATAATAATATCACTGTGGTATGAATCTCACCGAAGACTTTGTGTTCCAGCAGGTAGTTTGGAGAAGATGGCAACAGACAAACACGAAGTAGTTACCATGAGAAATGGCCACACGTCATCTGTAAATAGCTATTAGCAAGGCGGATGGTATGCGATTCAGTCAAAATTCGAAGACATGGAATTTTCTGAAACCCGAGGGAAAAGTTGGTATGATACTAGGAACAATAGGTCGCGGTATCGATGGTCCCAAACTTACGATACACACGATGGCGATGTAGACAAATGTGGGCGTCATTCGGATATTATGCAACGCTCTAAGAGGAGCGATTGTTACCAAATATACATGAAGAGTATGCAATGGGCGCAAAATGATGGCCCATTCACAAGGTTAATGATCAGTTTGAAGACTAGCCTCATGTATGACGCACCTGTTGATATGACCATGAGAGGAGTCATGTGTCAAGGGAGGGCAGCCGCGAGGCAGTCACCCGACGATGTTGATGATGATGATATGATAAGAGATGAGAGGTTTCCAAACGGATTGTGGATAGACGCCCAAGGGTAAATAAGGCAACAATGTATGACCTGAGATGGAAATGGAGGTACGTATGATCCGGTGAATGAGGGCAACTGACCGTCTTTTCCGGTAAAGGCGGGTCTACGGACATGAAAGAGCGGTACATGCCCGCGAGTGCTGCGGGGGTTCATATGGTGGAAGGACCGAGAGATGGACCTATCAGAAAGAGCACAGCTGTGGGTAGAGTTGTGGTGAGATAGGATTCGAAGTGGAAGATAGGATTCGGATGACAACCGGACATACACGGACACTCGGAAAGAGCCGAAATCAAAATGCACTTAAAGCTTAATTCCACACTGTCATTAGCAAATCACCGGAACTGAATTCGTGCCTTGTAGCAACAACGCTTGCTATCTTCAAAGGTTCCGGGACTAAACCAAGGTGAACGTTTGCACTGTCCTTTTATTATATTTTCTTTTTGATGGATGGTTCTAATACTCAGCCGGTTAACAGCCGAGGATATCGGAGACTAGCGGACTCTAAGCTAAGGTTTGTTGGAGTTTGTTGGTTACGAACCTGAGCTCAGCGATCACAGGCTTAGTCTGATCAAGGGGCAGGCTTTTCAAACTTGAACGTAACCTTCATTGAAGCCGTACACACCGATCGATTGGCGCAAGGCCCGGACTAGGCTTCTGTCACTATCCGAAATTTCTCTTTTATTAGTGACCTTTTTTGCTGAAACACTAATCCAAATTCCCCTTATATAACCGAACAGCCACCCTGCTTCAATTTAGTCACAGGCAACTAGCTTTAAAATCATTCTCCTCTTCTTTCCGGTTCGTATTAAATGCCCTGTCGATCCTGATTTCTCCACCCCACTGATTCCGTCCACTATGGACACCAATAGGCAGCTACCTGACCCAGCCAGTCATCATCCCCCTCCTCCACGTTTAATGGCCTCACCACAGACCCGTCCTATCGCCCCATACCAGCAACCATCCTTACCTTCTATTCGTCAACTCCACCCCTATCTTCCACCTTCGGGCATGGCTCAACATTTGCCCCCTACAGACCCTTCTACTTACACATATCCACTCTCAAGTCCTTATTCAGGGCCTTCTGGCTCCTCTGAAATTCAACAACCTTCCTCACAGCATGCCCTATACGGTCGTTCAGAAATGATCGACTCCGAGCCTGAAGGTGAGATGGAGCAGCAAGGTCCAGCTAAAAAGAAAAGGCGACGACAAGCTCTGAGCTGTAATGGTAAGTTTTATTTATTTTAATTTAAAATTATGTTGCTCATCGTTATCGATTTCAATCTTTGCCCTCTTGTTTATGTCGTTACTCTTTTTATCCACATCACGCGATCTTTAAAGAATGTAAACGGCGTAAGATTAAATGTGACAGGTTGGCCATTGTAATGTCACCACATCGCCGTGCTGTTTTGACTTCGCATTTACAGAGCTCAGCCCTGTGGGCCATGTACTAGGCGTGGTGAACAGTCAAAATGTCAATGGCGAACCTTAGAGCCTGTGTAAGCAGTATCTTTCCTGCTTAGAAACTCCTGCCCTTATAAATGCCCAGTGACAAATACGTCACTCGCACTGAGTATGAGGAACTCAAGAACAGGAGTAAGGCTGAATACGACGAACTGAAGTCAAGACTTGATCACCTTGAATCCGTGGTCGCGCGCCTTTTCCCCCCACCAGGCGGCCCTGCCAACGTGCCCATGTATTCAATCCCTGCTGATATTTCAGGGGCGTCGTCATCAGACAACGTAACCTCCTACCACTCTGCCCATTCGTCCGCGGGACAAGCATTGTATGTTGCTTCATCATCTTCTTTCACCCAAGACCCGGCAAAATCACAATCTTACGCCGGCTCTTCCTCACCTCATATCGCGGGATCTGGAATTAGTCATGGACCTTCCATTCCATCATCCTCCTCGAACACCCAATCAGTCGCACAAAGTGCTGGCCCATCTCATCTCCGCCATCCCTCGGACGCCAAATCCCCCACTATTGTTAGGCAGTCCCCGCTTTCATTAGCTTCCATCACATCTCCTTACAACGCTGATACTCAGCCAAAAAACTTCCACGCGCAGACGTTCAGAATACTGGGCGAGCGTCTGCGCCCGGTTCGAAAAAGTTGGAAAGGCCCAGTGGAACTTCTATGCGGCATCCTCAAGCGATGGAACATGCTGCGATGTCCGGCTCAGCAGGCGTTACAATGGAAGGCCCGTCAATGTCACCAGGGACACACCATTTATCGTCATCGAGACGTTATGGTGATCCTTCCGTAGGGCGGGAAGGGGGGGATAACAGAGACCGAAGGCAAGGTCCTGTAGAGCGATAGACTCTTCCGGCATTTCGTCGGCTCATAGCTTAATTCTGATCATCATTGGTGGCATTTCAGTTCTATTCATTCTGCTCACACTCCACACCACGCGTCAACCTTGTATGAGAAATACCTTCCGCAGATTCCATTCCCGGTACGCCGGACATGACTTTTTCGCTTTAATTTGGCGATCGCATACCCCACCCAGCCTCGTTTTTTCTGAGCATCTTTCACGACACAATTACGAGATTTTGTATTCTAGTAATACCACGAGTCTACTAAGCCTATCCTAACCATGTCAGTAAATGTCTCTAGCGCAGATCACGGCGATCCCATATAGTATTTTGGAAACTGGTGCAAGGCGCGATTGATTGTCTTAGTCCCATACTAACTTTCCCCGGTTATCCACGGTGGCTTGCATGCCGCCGCTAGTTTGCTTACCCCCTCCATGGCGTGATTGATTGATTATCTGCTCACGCTCCAAAGCACGCCTGCGTTCGGCAAGTTTCGCTTGTCGCTCTACTTCAGCGTCAGCTTTAGCATCTTTCAAACTCTGATTTCTTTTCGCATTTTGTCGCTGTTTCTTGGTTAACGTCCCTGGAACTTGCTGTACAACTTGCGAAGGCGTGGCTGAGGGTCGCGATACTTCTACGGCCATCTGTTAGCTTCATGACAAGGTAAAAATAAAATAAAGAAATTACTCGGGTGACCCTTGCCCTTGACGATGCCCCATTCGCCATCATCCTCCCCATCTGCGTCGTGTAAAGTACCGCTACTGGCATCCACATCCTCGTAATCCTTCCAGGAAAATCCTGGCGCCGGGGCCTCATCGGCCCGGGGCTGTACACGCATCACACGCGCTAAACCAGGATAACCCGGGCGCTCAAGCATGCTTCACGAATAACATCACGAGGTGGTCCAATGAGCATATGGGGATGAAGAACCGACAATTGACTTACTCATCGACGGTTGTTTTCCTAGGTTTAGGCAAAAGCCTCTCAGCCAGCGTTCGACGCTTATCTCCTGGGGTGCCTGCGTCCAGACTAGCAGATTCATCCTCATCCGTAGGCTCGGCAATTCCAGAGTGGCCGGTTGATGGACCCACGTCACTGCTGGTCATATCCGTTGTTATCGCAAGTATTTGATTGTCTGATCTAGTAGCGGTCTTAGGGCCTCGTGCTGTCTGACGGGTGTCTATCCGCATCCACGAAGAATCAGTATCAAATGACGGAGAAGAAGACCGTATTTGAAGCGTGCGCAGCTCCTCGTCCTGTTTAGGAGAAAACACTTTGCTAGGCATGTCAAAGGATGTTTTGGGAACATCACCGCCTGACTGCGATGCCAAGGAAGCTGACAGTCGTTCGGCTGCAACGTCAAGTGCCGTCCCCGTTACTTTCTGCTTCTCCTTCTTCGTCTTCGTCTTCTTCTTCGTTGCCTTGTTCTTTTTCACCTGTATGCTTTGGTCGTCCGAGCTGGGGGAGACGGCGTCAAATTCCCCGGGAATAACATGCGGAAATGGAACGACAGTAGGTTCAGGCACAGGATTGCCATGCGCAGACGTTGCGGTGGCGGTGGGGCTACTAGTGGCGGTGGTGGCGGTGATGGAGGAGGTGGTACTGATGGACTTCTCAGACGGCTTTGAGACGCCGGCAGTTTTCGGTGTCTGTTTCTTCTTCTTGCCTTTCGTACCTTTTTTGCTAACCGTCGGGGGTTCAGAGGGTGTACTGCTTGGTGCGCTAGAGTTGGAGTATGTGAGGTAGCGATATGTAGCAGCCCCTGCGACACCAGCCACGATGGCCCATTCTAACGATGTATGGCTGAGCGTCGAACCCATTAGGATGGAGAGTTAGATGTTGGAGATAGCGGTAGACGTCGAGAGAACAATGCAACTGGGGTGCCCGCTGCGCGCTTGAGAGTTTCTGACAACTGGACGGCCATGTGACGTTGACGTACGTGTCATTTGGTCGCGTCCGCGTCAATAGCCGTCAACAACGCGTTGTCATGCGCTCGGGAAATCATTACGACTGTGTGCGATCGCGCGCCCATGACCGAAAAGGAAATCAGTGCAACAGCCTGTGTCGATTAATATGGTGTCAAGACTGACTCATGCTATGAGTCAATGGCGGTTTCAGGGTTCCAGTGGTCTGACACTGCCGTGCGCAGTCATTTGGCATTATCTGGGGGGGATTTTGACAGTTCATCATCTGCCATGGATTTGAGAGAGACGCGCAACGATGTCCCCAGCGTCAGCTAGGACAGGTGTTGTATAGATCATGAGCGCGAGAGATGGGTTTCGCACACGGCTGTAATCAGGGTAGTTATATTATGTAGAAACGCTGGGACAAATCAACATCGTTTAACTTGAACAAATACATGGACAACAGGGTATTGCTACTACGAAACCAAGAACGTTAAACGACATCAAGACCTATTATAATTAGCTCATTTAAATTAGAACCATTACATAGTAAATGTGTCGTTGGGTATCATATCGGTGGAAGCGTGGCCGGTGTATCATGAAAGCTCAGAGTAGCCCGAAAAGCGTAAATTATCTGACTCAAGTTCACTACCACCGAGGTGGAGTGTTCCTCCCGCTTGATCACTGCGCTCGAGGAGATGATTCCAAATATCAGACTTCTCGCGCTCTGTGAGGGGCGGAGAGCGGGGAGCATCGAGTTTGCGGTAATTGACAGCAGACCGAAGCTGAGAGAACGACGAATCTTTGGACGCGGAAGTGGATGACCTTGACCGTGTCTGAATCTTAGCAGTAGATGCGTCGCTAAGGGTACTGGGCGCCCGGAGAGATATTCGTGAGTTGGATTTGTCATCAGTAGTAGTAAATGTGGATTGGGAGGGCAAATGTTTGCCCTCCGACAACCTCCTTGAGCACGCCGCACCTCGAGTAGGCCGTGGTGGTGGAGAAAGTGAGGTATTTCCATCGGGAAGTAAATGAGTGTGTGCGGCCGTAGACGGCTTCTCGACCAGCCTGCGTGTTCTGAGAGACGTTAATGAATGAATGGGGTGCGTAATCGGGGATGTATGTATACGTGGCGAGGTTTCCTGGTGCTGATCATCACCCTTGCCTTCTGCGGTTGGCGTGGCTCGCCCAGAATGGCTTCGACCGCTAGAATTGCTTCGATCGCTAGAATTACTTGGCCTGCCAGAATATGACTTCGTGCCCTGAACTTCTGTGTAATCACCTAAAATTTGGTGGAGCTCCCGTGGGGAGACAATATGGCGATCCCCCATGCTGGGAAGACCCGGCACAGTCTCCTCTCCATATGAAGAGACTGACGATCCCCTCGAGTGTGACATACGAAAGAAACTTGCCGAAGCTATTTCGGATGAATTAGGAGAAGACGAGGACGTTGCCATGCTCGGCCGCGGGCCTGAGCCAGCGATACTCCTTGGTATGGATGCGCTGTAAGATCTGTGTGACGTAGCCTGCACGTCTGTTTGCACCGTCTGGGACCGGGGAGGGGGTGTGTTGAGTAATTCTTTTGGAATGGCAGGGACAGGTGGTGCAGTCGTATCAGCGTGAAAGCGCTCGCGAAGCCCGCCCGTGCTGATCCGTTTCATGAGCTTCCAAATCTTAGAACCCTCCGACTTGCCCTGCAGGTCGGTCGCTGAGCGGATGTGACCCTTACCAGACTCCCCTGCATTTGTGAACTGTCCGCGGTCATTGAGAGAGCAGAAAGAATGGCCGTCTTGTAAACTTGATCGGCCAATTGAAGGTTCACGTAAGGGATACTCGTCAGCCTTAACGCCTCCTCCCGTTGCCTTCTTCCATTTACTCGACACTCTTCTCGAGAGGCTTCCCTTCCTCGAAAGGCTTCTACTCGGATCGGAGTGAAGTGTTTGAGCCCGCTGTTCGGCAAGGACATGAGCGTGCAACGACCAATTTCTGTTATCATCCGGCCCTCCCGCAGTAATTCTGAATTCCGACTGCGTGCCATAGACAGTATAATATGGGATAGGAGAATGCGATCGAGGGTCGGGTTCAGAAGGTCCTTCGGCAGGCTGCACTGATGATCCGTCGTGTTGTTGCTTGTATGGCTGAACAATACTCAATGAAGTGTCTTTGGACGCAGAATCATGGGCATAATGCGAGGGGGAGGCAGGTGTCAATTTCCGTTTTAGTTCCATCTCTCGTTGGATTCTTTCTTTGGCCTTTGCAGACGGCTTCCTACGAAGAACATTTCGCTGCTTTTGGTCCTTCCCCTTTGTAGGCATAGAATTGGTAGACAATGAAAGGCTGTCTTGGCTTATGAATGGCGGGCTGGTGGAAGGCGAAGTGATCGCCCTCGTAGGATAATCCGGATGCGAGTATCCGGGTAATGGGAAGCCATGGGGATGGGGCCTGGACTTTGGAGGGGTTGGGGGCCGCAAAGGTGAAGATGGGCCTGATAGACGGGTGGGGGACGGGAGTGCAGGCTTGCTAAGGAGGAACTTGATGCCCATAGCAACAGGGGACTCAGGGGTCTCCAGGGTAGTGACATTGGGTGAATTGGGCACGGTGCGGGGACGGGGAGAAGATATCGGACATTTGGACGCACGTTTGCGAGTGACGCCGTGTATAGGGAGAAGATCAGATTCCGTAATGGATCTGGAGCGACCGCTTGTAGCCGGGGACGAAGGGGTAGCGAAATATGGACGAGATGACGTTGCAGGCACCCTATTGTCTTCGAATACAGAGCGAGGATCGGTTATAGCGCTGGCAGATTCTGATGTGAATGACGATTGTGAGTCGGTAAAGCGACTGCTGCTGGCATGTGCGGAAGAAGGAGAGGTGACGGGGCTAGACTGAGCACTGAGATTGTGAAGGGATGCGAAAGGGGGAAGGATATGATCTGGGGTATTGTGGGGTACATAAGGATGTCGTGAGCCGGACCTAGGCAAGGAGTGGGGAGGGGTATTTGGTTGAGCGGAAGATGAAGGAAGGGGTTCGTGCACAAAGGTTCGATGATGGTGGCCGACTTGATAGGAAGAATGAGAAACGGCGCGCTTGCGTGTAGTTGAATTGATGGGGAGCATAGTAGTTGCGTAAAATCGAGTGAAGCGATCAAGATCTGTTAGACAGGTCCAGGCCTAGTGCCGCCTAGACGTAGTATATGAAGATTAAGAACAGTTGGAAGTAAAACGGAGACTCACATGATGATATGGGAAGAGAAAGCAGTTAGACGCCTGAAAGAAAGTACGTGAAACTAGAATTAGGTTACGGGAGGGCGATCCGCTAGAACGGTCTAGTTCGGTCTACGGAAAGGCTACACGAGGAGAGACACACAAGTTTAAAGGAGCGTAATGAAAGAATGTGGGAAGACCAGACCAGAGAGCGCAACGCCAAAGTAAACTATATATATAAGACAAGACTTAACAAGATCAAAGACATAAGTAAACCCGGTAGGCGCTGACGATCAGCCTCATCAAATCATCCATCGCATTCCCCGGTGCTTACGCTCTCCCACGCTCAGGCCATGACTACACTAGCTAGTACAGTGCTCTCGCTAGTACATATGTACCTTAGCCTCGTATCCAAGTCTCACCTCGATCATCCTTATAATCTCACTCAAGTCTCAGTCACACAAAGTTCCCTTCCATCATCATGTTTCGCACCAATGTCTCTCCCAATGATCCCGCAGAGGAACATCCCACAATCGGTTTGATCGGAATGGGTGCAATGGGCGCTATGTATGCGAAGCACCTCTCAAAAGCAGGCTGGAAAAAGTCCCTTCATTTACTTCTCAACATCTATTCGTCTCATACATATCTATAGAATCAGCGTCTGTGATATTCCCGATAAATTTGAATCCTTGAAACTCCAATACGCAGGCGTTCCTGGTATAACCGTCCATCAAGATGGACACGGAGTTTCCAGAATTTCAGACTTCATAATGTACTCCGTGGAGGCCGAGTACATCGACCGTGTCGTTTCACAGTATGGACCTTGTACGTCTTCCCATACATTCAAATTATATCCTCCTGACCTATCCTTCGTGGGAATCCATACATAGCAACTAAAGTCGGCGCAGTTGTCTCTGGCCAAACCTCCGTCAAAGCCCCCGAGAAGGACGCATTTGAAAAGTATCTCCCTCCGGATGTCCATATCGTGTCACTTCATTCTCTTCATGGCCCCACCGTTTCCCCAGAAGGGCAACCCCTGGTAATTTCCCTTCCGCCTAACTTATCGCCAATCCTCATCTTCTTATCTTTGACAGGTTCTCATACAACACCGCGCTCCAGACTCCTCTCTTCATCTAGTCGAAAACATCTTCCGCTGCTTCGGTTCACGCTTCGTATATTTGACTTACGAAGACCACGACCTCGTTACCGCCAATGTACAAGCGGTCACACACGCTGCCTTCCTCACGTACGAGCAATAATTCCGTCAATCTTCTATCACTTCACTTCTGACTCACACCACAGCATGGGCACAGCCTGGGCCAGCCAGCGCGCGTATCCCTGGGAACAGGGCCAATACGTCGGAGGAATTGAAACTGTCAAAGTAAACATCATGCTTCGCATTTACGCGAACAAGTGGCACGTTTACGCAGGCCTCGCCATTCTCAATCCCTTCGCCCGCATACAGATCGACCAATACGCTTCCTCTGCAACCGCTCTCTTCAAGCTTATGCTTGCAGGCGACGAACGAGGCCTCCGCACCCGGATCTACGACGCACGCGAACAAGTCTTTGGCACAGTCAAAACAGAGCGCGCGCCAATATTCCTAACTGAAGACGTCCTTGATCAGTTCACCATCGGCGGTCATCCAAAGCTTAACTGCAGTCCAACAACGTCGTCTGCACCCCCATCAAACTCCCACCTTGCACTCCTTGCCATGGTCGACTGCTGGGCCCACCTCAAAATTCAGCCGTTCGACCACCTCGACCTCGCAGCAACTCCCATATTCAGGATGTGGATCGGTGTTGCAGAGTACCTCTTTCGTTCCCCGACTCGGCTGGATTCTGCTGTTCGTTCAGCTGTGTACGACGTCACCCACCGATCGGACGATCTCGAATTCGTGATCGCCGCACGTGGGTGGAGCCAGTGTGTATCATTTGGGAGCTTCGAGTTATATAAACGCCGGTTCTTGGAGACCGCGTCGTTCTTTGAGAGCAGGTTTGAGGAGGCGGGCGCAATTGGTTCGGAGATGATCAAGGCTATTTCGCAGAGTTAGGATCGAGGAAATTTTTTTGGGAGATCGTTTTTATGCACTTTTTATGTAATATACTTGCATCTGTAACAAGTTTCACTATTTATACTAGACTGTTCCTTGGGCGCATCGAGTGAACAAAGTGAACGTTCGTCAATACCATGTCAAGGCGCAAGGTGTCGTGGAGCAACGCTCCCCGATATATTAGCAAATCTATGTTGCTACACGTGCAACACGTTACTGGCAGCAAATCGAGACTTCGGATGTCCGTGTAGCAGCGTTGGTAAAAAGCTTTCCCGCCTAGATCCAAATACTTCATTCAATGTGGTAATCGGAATCACGGGTCCCCCTGCCATTATAGAGGTTGCAGTGATGCTGGACACGGTCGAGGGTCTCCGGGTTGTCACGATAAGCTGCAAAGGTGTTGTACTCGCCGTTGTTATCTGCTTCGCGATATTAATAGACGCCCGAGATGTGATACTGTTCACAGTATGTCCGTTGTCATATGCGTTTCTGCCCGGGGGCCTAATTCCGTGGCCGCAGTTGTCCAGATTGGCAACGCTCCACGGCACGGGACTACCATTTTACAGTGCTTTAACGTTGCTACATCAGTGTTACGACCATATCGAAGTGCTACATACCAGCAATCGAGTCCCCGAGTTGACCCCTCGACAATGATGTAACTGGAGGCGGTACTTCATATCTGCATGTCTTCGAGCTCATGTGCAATCGTGTGCATTGAAGACGAGAGCGCTCAGCGCATTCTGGTGAATCACATTATGGGCAACACTCATAACGCACTGTCATATCCACAAACTATACCTCGTCCGGCCTGGTCCATAAACCACCACCTCACGGCCTATAAGGTTGCAGGAAGGAAGCTGTCCGACGGTAGTACGAGAAGGAAATTGTTTTAAGGCGGGGGTCAATGATAGTCTACGAAATCGTCAGTGATGCGGTGCCATCAGCTCACCTCAGACAAGCCACGACATGGAAAACATGCTAACCTCTCGATAATGGTGCATGATACATCCTGCATAGTATCACCTTCGCTCGTCGATAAGTACGACCTATGACTTACTGTCCGTCCTTCGATGAATCAATTCTACATGGCTCCCAACATGCCCTTCTTGCTCGGCATAAAATTGGTGTTTCCTCGATTAGGGCTGTGTACATAGAGTTTTCGACACCAAAAGACAAGAAATTTCAATTGAAAACATGAACTGCAGTGGAATAGTGCTTACCTACTGCTTCAACATCACCAGGCACATAAACGACACGAGCAGAGCAACAAAAATATGAACACTCCCATGGACTTAGGAAAAGTCCTTCAAGATCCAGCTCCACGGGACAGGATACGACAGTGCGGATGCAAACTTGAACAAGCTGTCGGAGGCCGAGAATGGATACTAACTACATCCGATCATGATGCCCTGGAAATCGTTACAATGAATGATCGGATGCTAGAGTGAAAACACACTTCAGCTTCGAAGGAGAGAGATATTAACGGTTGAAATTGCTGCAAACAGTAGTGATGCGCTGGATTTGTAAGTGAGAAACAAGAAATCATTCATGACGGCTGCACTGCTGAACTGGAGGCGATCGTGGTATTGATGTTGAATGCTTACAAAAGCAAGTTCTCCAAAACTGCCAGCGAGATGCAACAAGAGTCTGGTAAGTCAGCTGGACCACATTAGATTTAGCCATCAGGAAGCTGCAGCACGACCATCAGCAAAGCGGGTAATGGAAGGATCGTGAAAACCTGTTATAAATTTTCGAAGAATACCTGGCCATGTTAAGAAACACATGGAAGTCAGACTGAAAGGATCGATTTGTGCGCATCGTTAGTAAAGCAATTGTCGGCCCAACATAGCACAGTTGTGCGCGTTTGGAAAGAAATAATTTCCATATTTGTATACCGCAACAAAAACGAAACCTGTTAAAACACGCTGCTATATAGTGGCAGTCCTGGGGATGAAGAGAATGGGCATACTACAAATGACCAATAAAGTTTGTTTTGAAGTGCGCATATTGTCCAGCTTGCGCTGGCGTCAGGAATATGGCAGACACCGTTTCTCACGCCTACTGCGCTCCGGCTACAACAGGGACAAACAACACAGCTTTCCTCCCCTCTTGGGGGCCCGCAATCGTTCCTTCCGCATGGGGCCCGTCGGGGGGGTCGCTTTCAGGGTGGTCGTTTCGTCCGTCTCAGCGGGGGTCGCTTGTGGTCGCCTTTGTCATCGCTTATCAATAGACTCTTGTCATCCAAGTGGCGCATCACCTTAGTCATCGCTTATTAATCACTTTTTTGTCCGAGTCCAAAACCATGCTCCTTGTCGATGTCATTCCATCCATGGTCTCACGACATCATCGCATCAAGATCCTGGCGACATATGACCAAAATACTCGAAAATCATGGACGCGTTTTCATCACACCGTGGGAAATTTTGGCCTCATATCTTTGTCGTGCTCCTCATCTTGCTCTGTCCATCCATGGTCTTGTGTCATCTTCTCGTCGTATTCCCAGCCGCATACAGTCATAATGCTCAGAAATATGGTGCAAAATTCAAAAAATATAAATTGGCAATGGCAGGAATTGAACTCAAGATCTCAATACGATGATCCATCTTTACCACTCAACCATAATGGCTTTTACTTTCCTAGCTCACAACGGCATATATCGTAATGTGATCTCTAATAAATCTCTTATGGCTTGCAAATGGTAGGAATGAGTCACATGCTTACAAGGGTAAAGGCCCCTCAAAGTGGGAAAACATGTCATGCTTGTGGCGCAAAGCACCGAGTTCAGAAGCTTATAGTCGTACCACCAGTATTGCCTACTCGGTGTGGTTTGTCATAATGCAGTGTAGAGACTGACATATCTGTAGCCTCATAGCAGCCATATCCACAACTTGTGCTAAACACCTCTCCAATCATTCCCTATGCAAAGTGCAACTCTTCCGCACCAAGCGTGCGCTACTTTCCTACACCAAGCGCTGCATTCTTGTATACCACCAGTATACCATGTCCCCACACTTCATAAAGCAAAGTACTACATTTGCAGTCCCCATCGCTCTCACATATGAGCATATTCTGTTGGCAGGAACCTCTGTGTCTAGGAGTACGTTCAGATACTGGTCTGTCTTTTGTATCCATTGCTGATAGTCATGTCATGGTTTAGCTATGGCTGGACAGGCTCGGCTCTTACTGGTTTTCCAGCAGTTTGGTGGTCTCCATGAACCAAGTCACCTATGTGCAACTTGGTCCAGTCCGCAAGCCACCTGGACCAGCACAAACCAGCACAAGCCAACAATATGGGAACAACGGCTTGAACTAGCTTCAAGCCACCTCAAACTGTTATGACTTGGATAGGTTGAGCCTTCTGCAGTTGAATAGCTGATCTCGAGTGGTCTTGCATAGGTGGAAGGATGAGTTCTAAGCTCAAATGTCTAATGAGCGAGCCGGGTCATGTAAGCAGCAAGTCCATCAAAACAACTCACCAAAGGTTGTGCATCCAATAGCACTCATCTACCAAGAGTCTGCATCTTCCGCAATTTACCAAGTTGGTGGATAGTTTATTACCTTCAAAACAAATCAATCAGATAGGTGACATTGTGTACTGTGTACCTTGTACTACAGCAATAACATGCTCTGCAGTTGAAAGAGGGCTTAGAAATACAGGTGATCCACGGCATTGTACCTAGGATAGGAAATGCTCTAGCGTGGTGCCATCGGGAGCCATAATCGCATGATCTCATTATACATGCTATGGCTATATATTATATATAACATCACACATTTTTTGGCCATTCTGACTATCTCAAATCATGGAACATGTTACTGGGATGCTATTGCACCAACATTTAAGGAAATTGGTGGTCGGGAACATGAGTTATGATCATTTTACTGCCGACCATGTCTTGCTACCAAATATCTATATTGGGATGTCATAGCCCTATTGGGACAAGCTATAATCTTATCAGGATGGCTCTATATGTATCATAATCATATAACTACATGATCTTGAACCAATTTTGCAATATCTTTGGCCAACATGGGTGGGTGTAGGGGGAGGAGAAGACATGCAGCATCACAAAAAATTATTGGCAATCCAAAACTAACCCTATCATCTTCTGTGACCTTTAAAATGGTGGGGAGAAAGTTGTTTGGGTATTTGCTGATGTTTGTGACCTTGGGTGTCAGACCACCTTCTGACCTCCAGATGCACCAAGCCCACCACCTCATAAAAAATTCCTAGTGTCTCAAGACTTGGTCCATCATCTTCTGTGGCCTTTAAAAAGGTGGGGAGAAACTTGTTTGGGTGTTTGCTGATGTTTGTGACCTCTGGTGTCCGACCACTCCAAACCTACAGGTGCATCAAGCCCACCACCTCACAAAAAATTCCTGTCCTTTTAAAACTTAGTCCATCATCTTTTGTGACCTTTAAAATAGTAAGGATAAACTTGCTTTCAAATTTTCTTCAGTGTAGGACCTCCAGGGCCAGACCACCCCCTGGCCTCCAGATGCATCAAGCCCACTGTCTCACAAAAAATTCCCAACCTTTCAAAACTTTGTCCATCATCTTCTGTGGCCCTCAAAATGGTGTGGAGAAAGTTGTTTTGGTATTCACTGATGTTTGTGACCTTTGGTGTCAGACCACCTCCGACCCCCAGGTGAACCAAGCTTACCATCTCATAAAAAATTCCTGGTGTCTCAAAACTTGGTCCATCATCTTCCATACCCTTTAAAATGGCTGTGAAAAACTTTTTTTGCTATTTGCTATAGCATAGGACCTCTGGTGTCAGACCACCCCTGACCCCCAGGTAAACCAAGCTCACCACCTTACAAAAATTCCTAGCCTTTTGAAACTGAATTTTTCTGCCTCAGTGGCCTTGAAAATGATGAGGAGAAACTTGTTTGAGTGTTTGTGTCAGCATAGGACCTCTGTCCAGACCACTTCCTGACCTCGAGGTGTACTGCCTCACAAAAAATCCCTGGTCTTTCAAAACTTGGTCCATTATCTTCAGCAAACTTTAAAATGATAGGAAGAAACTTGTTTTGCTATTTGCTGCAGCATAGGACCTCCAGTGCCAGACCACCCCCTGACCTCTAGGTGTACCAAGCTTACCACCTCACAAAATTTCCTAGCCTTTTGAAACTTGGTTTTGCTGCTTCAGTGGCCTTGAAAATGATGAGGAGAAACTTGTTAAAGTGTTTGCCTCAGCATGAGATCTTGGGTGTAAAGTCATTCCTTCATCGCCAGATGCACCAAGCTTAACACCTTACAAAAAATTCCTGCTCTTTTGAAACTTGGTCCATCATTTTCTGTGGCCTTTAAAATAGTGGGGAGAAACTTGCTTTTATGTTTCTTCAGTGTAGGACATCCAGTGCCAGACCACCCCTAACCTCCAGGTGTACTGAGCTGATCACCTCACAAAAAATTCCTGGCCTTTCAAAACTTGATCCATTATCTTTATTGATCTTTCAAATGGTGGGTAGAAAGTTGTTTGGGTGTTTTCCACAGCATGGGACCTCCAGTCCAAACCACCTCCCAACCACCAGATGTACCACCTTGCAAAAAATTCCTAGTCTTTCAAAACTTGGTCCATCATCTTCAAAAACCTTTGAAATGTTGGGGGGAAACTTGCTTTCATGTTTCCTCCAGTGTAGGAAGTCTAGTGCTGGACAGCCCCTGACCTCCAGATGTACTAAGCTGATCACCTCACAAAAAATTCCTGGCATTTTGAAACTTGGTTTATCATGTTCAGTGGCCTTGAAAATAATGAGAAGAAACTTGTTTGAGTGTTTGCATCAGCATGGGACCTCAAGTTCAGACCACCCCCTAACATTCGGGTGTCTTAAGCTTATCATCTCATAAAAAATTCCTAGCCTTTTGAAACTTGGTCCATCATCATTAGAACCCTCAAAATGGTGGGAAGGAAGGAGTTTGGGAGTTTGCTGATGTTTGTGACCTTGAGTGTCAGATCACCCCTGACCTCCAAGTGCACCAAGCTTGCTGTCTCATAAAAACTTCATGGTGTCTCAAAAATTGGTCCATCACCTTTTAATACCCTTGAAAATTGTGGGGAAAAACTTATTTGGATGTTTGCTATGGTGTAGGACTTCTGGTGTCAGATCACCCCCTGACCACTAGGAACACCTTGGGAAAATCTTTTGAGATCTCAAACCTTAGTGCATCATCTTCAGTGACCTTTTAAATGGTAGGCAGAAACATGTTTTGCAGTTTGCTACAGCATGGGACCTCTGATACCAAACCAGCTCCTGACCACCATGTATACCAAGCTCATCACATCACAAAATATTCCTGATGTCTCAACACTTGGTCCATCATCTTCTGTGACCTTGAAAATAGCAGAAAGACACTTGCTTGGCTGTTTGCTCCAGTTTGAGATCTTTGGTATCAAACTATCCCCTGACACCCAGGTGTGCCAAGCTCACCACCTCACAAAAAATTCTTGGTCTTTCCAAACTTGGTCATCATCTTTTGTAGCCTTTCAAATGGTAATGAAGAACTTGTTTAGATGTTTTATACAGTATAGGACCTCTGGTGTCAGACCACCACCCAACCTCCAGGTGCACCAAGCTTGTTGACTCACAAACAATATCTAGTGTCTCAAAACTTAGTCCATCATCATCAGTGACCTTGAAAATGCTTGGGAGAAACTTGTTTGGCTGTGTCCTACAGTGTATGATCTCCTGTGTCAGATCATCCTCTGACTGCCAGATACACCAAGCTTATCACTTGACAAAAAACTACTAGTGCCTCAACACTTGGTCAATCATCTCTAGTGGCCTTGGAGATGGTGTAAGGGGGGGGGGGGCTTGCTTGGGTATTTTTGATGTATAGGATCCCTGGTGTAAAATTATCCTTTCATCACCAAGTGCACTAAGTTTACCGCCTTACAAAAATATCCTGGTGTCTCAGCACTTGGCCTATCATCTGTGACATTCAAAATGATAAGAAGTCACCATTGACTAAAAACTTTATCTGGTTGTATAGAAATGATTCTCAAGCATCTTCCATCACATGACTCTTGGTTGTACATAAGTTTCCCTCTATCCTTGCTTCTCAACTTTATCATCTGCTCTCTTGCAGGGACAGCAGTATACAAACATCCCTCCATCTCTGGTCCTCTATTTTTTTATCTTGTTCCACCAGTTGCTATCGGAGTAATATGGTTGTGATGTGTGAAGGCAAAAATTCAGTTTGTATGATTTTCATTCATGTGCTGCAAATAATTTATTTCTGATGCTATATCTACTTTCCAATTTCTGTCTGTCACCATTTCTGTTGCTGTTTCTGTCACCACTTCCTAATGTCTGTCTCTGCTTCTGTCTCCACTTAAGATAAACTTTCGGGTGCACCAAGCTCACCACCTCATAAGAAATCCCTGGTCTTTTGAAACTAGGTCCACCCTCTTCAGTGACCTTGCAAATAATGGGGAGAAGCTTTTTTGGAAGTTTGCTCCAGATTATCCCCTCACCCCTAGGTTAACCAAGCTCAACATCTCACAAAACTTCCTGATGTCTCAAAATTGTCATCTTGAAAATGGTGGGGAACAACTTGTTTGGGTGTTTCCTCTGGCACATAACCTCTGGTGTCAGACTGTCCTCCGACCAGCTCATCACCTCACAAAAATTTCCTGGTGTCTCAAAGCTTGCTCCATCATCTTCAGTAACCTTTAAAATGGTGGGAAGAACATTGCTTGGGAATGCATCCAGCTTGTTGCCTCATAGGCTCTTTGGTCCCCCATGTTTTGTGACCTTAAAAATGAATGATTTGGTATATTCCATGCCCAGGTGCTTTGAGGATTCCACAGTTCCATCATCCTGACACTTGATTTATTGTGTTCAGAAAAATCAAACTTTGATTAGGCTACTGCATCCAACAATATTGCCGATCTAATTACTTATATTACTTACTTATTCTGGACAAAATCTGATGCAAATCCCATGTGTATTTTTGGTCACATCCACCATAAGCTTGTCCATCTTAGATATAATCTTTACCTTCAGAGATGCATCGTATCTTCAAGATGCCTGATATAATTTTTATGATCTTGCAGATGGTCTATACTGCAATTTCCACAGAAAATTCCGGTAGACTCGGTGCTTTTGCTGGACTAGCCACAACATCCTCGACCATCTCTGAGGTTGTACTTCAGCTTCTATGGAAACAGCTGCCTTCAGTGGAACCTCTCATCCATCTTCTCCCAGAGGATCTTATTTACAACCACCAAAATTCTAATGGTGGATTTGAGTTGGTGGGTCACCCAATAATGTTGCTGAGCCTATAGCACGCTGACAGCTGATGCTTGAAATAGAGGTTTCTCAGGACATTCAAGCCTTCAGATCTGGCAAGGTTCTATTCATATGCACACAGAGTCAAAACCATCTGTCCGGAGAAAAAAGCATTGAGATCCCCATACAAGCATGTTTTTCAGAGCCTGTTGGCTTTGCATGGCCGAATCAGATCTTTGGATTCTTTTCTGCCATCTCTCAGCCATGTGGAGCTGAAACACAAGAGAGACTGCCTAATCCAATGTCTGGACAGGCTGCTACATCCAGGACTGACTACCCTGATACTTCCGCCTCATATGCTCTTTCCTCCCAACATCCAGAATTTATTGCCACGTCTGCAAAATCTGGTCTACATTGTCAACTCATCTGAGACCAGGACTGTTTTAAGCTCCCTTTCCCATAGCCTCCCCATCCGGCATCTTACCTTGTCTTATGTGGAACCCACCGTGATGACCTCCATAGCATCTTTATGCCAGCTCACCAGTCCTAACCCTTGTCATCATCCCTGGATCATCATCCATGAAGCAGACCTCTCACATTCCAAATCATTACATCCGCACCAAGGTTCTCAGCATCCAGGTAGAACCTGATGAGCGTCCTCCAACACTTGATCAGCCAATGGCCACATCCGCCGACATAGGATTTCCAGCCATTATATCTCTGTTCTCTAATCACCCCATCACCATGCAAGGACTGAGCATCAATGTACACCAGGAATACTGCTCAGCAGATGCTATCCTGCATTTCTTTGATGCTCTTATATCTCTCAGGCCAACTGATGATGATGAGGATGCATTGCCAGCTTGGGAGGATCTGGTAGGGTTAAGATTGAAGATGCCATGGAAAGAAGAATTTTTTGTCTTGGATGAGAGCATTCTTCAGATTCCACGTGATGGCTTGGCTGCTTTGCATGCTCTGGTCTATTTGACTGCTCTAGAGCTGGGGGACTTGGGCACTTGTAGGATTGATGATGATGCCTTGCTGAATTTGGCCCTCAGTTTACCGTATCTTCAACATCTCTTCTTGGGCACAAGGCAATTTTGGGAAGAAGCTCCAAGGGCCACTCTATGGGGGATCTCGCACATCCTGTCCCACTGTCATAGTTTGCAGAAGCTGGGTCTGCTGTTCTACTGTGGCTTGGGACAACATATTCTTGAATCTGCTGCTAGAAACAACCTCATCACAACACTACATGTTGGATTCTCTCCGCCGCACAGTTCTGTTACTGTGGCAGCATTTTTTGCTCATTCTCTGCCTAACCTGAACTCCATCATGGTGGAGCCTAGAGAATCTCATAGCAAACATGCTCACAGCCGTACAGATCTGACTCTTCCTGATCGTGATGCCAGAATTCAGGAATGGGACAGGATTTTAGAGTTGACTAGAGAGTTTGTGGAACTTTGACATAGTACATCAGCTATCTTGATTTCGACCATTATTACAGAACATGCTTTGACTTGCTAATAGAGGCAGTGGCAGAAAACAATTTAGAAATATGTCAAGTTGACATCTAGTAGATTTCTATCTCTTCCACCACAGTCACAGCCCTGCAGAAGTTGGCACTTTTACAAAATGTTTTTTATGAGGTAGAATGACATCAATTGAAGCAGAATCAAATGAGACGGTTGAAAGTGCAAAAGTCATGCAGATATATTGCCTGCTGCTATACATGATCCAGCAGTGTTAGATGAGGAAATCTGCAAGGTCGTTCAGACCCCAGCTGTCAGGGAATTCCAAATTGGCTGCATTCTCCAAACAATTCCAGCATCGATGATGGTTGCCCCTATACTCTGATGCTAACTGACCTTGCGCTCCCTCCAAGCTGACTTTGAAGCTGTGGTGTGTGACATGTTGTGACTTTAGGTGACATTTGCATAACTGCTGATTTCTGTGGGCGCCAGATTGCAGTGGAAGGAACAGTAACAGACATTTGTCTTACAGGAAGTCATCCACTATCACCATCAGGTAAAGTTTGGTCATCCTGAATCTGACTGTTTTCTGGCTGACATTACATTCCTATCACATACCTCCCATAGCTCTATGGCCTTCTCACATCACTTTGATCTTCAACACTTTGACCAGTGGTGGAATGAGTCTAACCCTGCTCACACAAACTTTTCCCACATTCCAACATATCGTCTAGGAAAATTCATATCAGATACCAGGACTTATGAGCTTTTCCATGATCATGAACTGCTGGCCATGATTCCTGCTCACTACAGGAATGGCCTGAGATTTCTCAATCATGACATTATCTGTTTTCAAAAACTGCTGCAACATCCTAGACCTTCATACCGTCCTGATCTCTTGCAGCTCAAGTATGAGATCTTTGGAAGGGAACTCTTGGTACTGAGCAAAATAAGGGAGTGGTTTATTCAGGAGGTCCGTAGTGGATGTCTGGCTGACCAGCCTGAGACATGGATGTCTCCCATCATGAACTCTTTCTTGGCTTATATGTATTATTGTGGATCTGTGAATCCTTGTCATAAATCCCTCATGATGAATAGTGTTCTAGATGATCCTCAAACATACGGTGAGTTGGAAATCTAATATACATCTGCTCAAGGATCAAAGTTCTGACCCATGACAGATTGGTATAGTTGGGCAGAAAAGCAAGTGGTTCCAGGTTTATGGGGAAGACTGCCAGAGCATCCTGAAGAATACCAGGCTGCTATGTTGCAAGCCATCATAGCCCAAATTGCACTGGAGCCTCATACAGAGTCTCCTGGGCCATGCTCTGAAATGTGGTGCAAGGGCATGATCGACATGATGATTCAAACCAGACTAGAAATTGAGAGTGAGGTTGCTGTGGTGAGTATATTCTGTTCCGTTCATTTTCACCAAAATCATGGCTGATACTCTCTTATTATCAGGACAAGTCTGAACAAGAGATGCCAGGGTATGCTGTTATATATGCTCTGTTTTGATGAATAAAGAATGCTGACATTGTGGTTCAGGAAGTATATGTCTAATGAAGCAGTGAGAAAGGCAAGGGGTCGGCCCAAAGGAGTGTGCAACAGCATAATTGTGGTGCCTCAGATGCAGTCCAAATCCCCCATGAAACTACGCAGCATGAATAAATCTGGATGTTTATCTAGATTATCAGCTCTATCCATCAGCGGGGATCTTGTTCCAGAAATACCCATGACTAAAGATGCTAAAGGTTAGCGTGCTTCCTCTGATTTTGCCATCCCAATCATTGAAAAATCTTAATCAGAAATGGAAGAGCTTGACCAGGTCCTGAGATTAAAGACTTCCCCTCCAGACTCTCTCCTGGCCGTAGCAACACCTACCAGAAAATCTGGTGCTTTGGCAGACAGGTAAGCGGTCCAAATTGATTTTTATCATATGCCTTGTTTCTAAACATAGCAGGAATACCCTCTTAGATCTGGCATCGTTGAACCAGGTGCTTACTCTTTTGCATCTAAACTGGTTAATCATGCGGCTGATGGCTGACATAACAACGACAGGCAACTGCAAGCTTGGCACTGGAGTCTCCAAAGAAGCATCCAAGAATATCAGCAGAGAATGATGTTCCTGCTCTAGATTTGTCTATCTTTTTCTTGAAAAAGTTGCATACAAGTTCTGCAAAACCTATGTCACTGACGCCAGCAAGTTTCTTGCTCTATGCTCAAGAAGCCATACTGAAACTTTCCATTAGGCACAGCCTGCCAAAAGGCTTCATGTTTTCTTGAACAAGAAACCATCCGAACCAAGCCAGACATCATCAGACTTTGCAGCAGCTGCTGTTGCACCTTCATATGTCATGGAACTAAGATCTGATTACGGTACACCAAGTTCAAACTCCCCATTGTGTTCAGAAGATTTGCCGTATGATATGGATGTGGACCAGGCTGTAGATGTCGATAGTTCACTTGGACATGCATCTCTGGCCACCCCTGATTCATATCCAGAAGATTTGCCGTATGATATGGATGTGGACCAGGCTGTAGATGCCAATAGTTCACTTGGACATGCATCTCTGGCCACTCCTGATTCATGCCTAGACTTACCAGGGAACGATACATCTTTGCCAATGGCTTCCAACCACCTAGAAGAATCTGTTGCATCTATATTCACTCCTCCAGGTACACTGCTTCTATCAAAGGATGATCTGCAGATGTCTGCTATCTCTTCTCCTTCCTGTTCCAGGATGGAGCTTGAACGGTCTTTACCTATTCCATCACCCTCTATGTCCAGTTCTGATGAATCTGCTCAAACACCTCCGATCACTAGCAAAACATCCAAAGGCACTTTGGTTTTTACCAAGAGTCACGATACCAAGTTTTCCTATGATTCAGTCACATTCATACCAACTGCACCCAGATCCAGAGTCAAATCCAAATCCAAATCCAAATCCAGTTCAAAGGTACCTGTGAGTATTCTTTCTCATTGCCATGTCTGGTTTAGTACAGATAGCAATTGATGTATTGTAACCCACCTTCTCAGATACGTGCCCCACCTGGCCAGAACAACGAGAGTCAAATGTTGAACAAGGGCAAGGAAAAAGCAAAGGCGACATGTTCAAAAGAGTCTCAAAAATCTAGTCTGCAGGAGAGAGCAAAGAGCAAGGACGAGAGAAATATGGAGATCTCAGATGAATCTCCAATGCCTCATCCTGGTCCTAGTACCAGGTCCAAGATCACTGAGACGCTGCCTGCAAACATGTCAAAAGTGGCTAAATCTTGTCAGATTGCTCAGGAATCTGAGAATCGGACATGGAGTGATAGGGTGGGTTCTCATTTTCTCATTTCATCGAGTTCTGATTGTAATGATGTTTTGCCATTACAGTTTCTTACATTCTTTGGGTACCTTGGGCGTGATTGGGCCCAATCTCCTGCACTTCAAAATGATATAAAATTGCAGGTTGGCAAGGCCATGATCTCTAGAGATGTTGAGGTATGTCTCGTCTATGGTGTAGCTGTTGCTGTAGATCTGATTGTGTTGAATGATCGGCAGAAGCAGATCAAGAATGACATGCATGTGATAGTCAAGTATGTCTATTGGATGAAAAAACGGAGGGGAGCGGTCAAACTTCAAGAACAGCCTGAAGTTGGTTTCAAAGTTCTATTTGAACTTTTACAAATGAGGTCTTAGTCTATGGTCTGGTATATGTTGGATTGTTGAGTCCTCTGTACTTTACTGTTTACAGCCAATATCTTGGGCAGGTAGGACATTGGTAATAGATAGTTTGGGCCAACCGTTGTGTGGGTACGATCCATCTGGTGTCAATCTGATCCATATGCATGGTCCAGTCTACAGGCAGACGATGACCTTGGCCTACCAACTGACTGTGCCACTCACGTGCCTGATGCATCGCCCATCCATTCCCAGATACTCCAGCTGTAATTCCACGTTCAATAGGACAGCAAATGAGTGCTTTGAAAAGTTCATCCACCAAGTGGGCGGCATGAACTTTAGTTTCTGGAAGATGAGATTCGATAGAGTCTGTTGGCGACAGAACTTTGAGACATCTTGTATGATACCAGCGGTTGCAATTCAGACAAAATCTTTGGATCTCCTTGTCGGGACTGAAAGGCTTGTTGCATGCAGAGACACAAGAGAGGTGGATTAAATCATCCTATGATCAGATGTTGGTCAATTATGTTCCTGACCTCTTGGAGCTCATGACAGACCTGAAGTATGGGCGGTGAAGAGCTTGCAAACCAGCGTGTGTAAAATTCATTTGAACACCAAGGCTTTTGTACTCCAGACATGTCATCGAACTTGACTACCTGAATGGTGCCTTGAAGTTCAATAACAAATCTTGGTTGGTCGCACAGATCTACAAAAGCTGTGGTTTTTTCTCACCAGCTAATACTTTGGCTTCTGCCCAGATGGACAAATCTGACTCCAACAGTTCTTGGCGTCCCATGCACAATAATCTGGAGTCTGACTGAGAAGCCTTTTTAAAAATTGGCTCTTCAAAGTCTGCCCTCCAATACCAACGAATCTTGACCCAAAAATGCTATAAAGAAAGAGATGATTGTGAAATTATGATATGCTAGCTGTTGATGGATGCAGACCTCTGAAGCCCTTGCACGCTTGTCTACACGGATACATTCAATGATTGCATACCATAAATCATTGGGATCCACTCCCTTACGCCCTTCTTTGGATGCATACACTGAAACGCTATGTGCAACATGACTCAGATGAATTAGACCTGCATATGAATTCATGCTAAGCATGCTTCTAGAAGAAACACACCTTTGTCCAACTTTGTATTCGATTTTATTCTCCCCTTCTTCATCTGAATCAAGGTAATAAACTAGTTTATTTTCTCTGAATCAAAACAAAGTTATAAAAGTGCAGCAACTGACTCACGGATTGCACGTGTAGTTGGTAAGTCATTGAATTTCTTTAGGGACATGCCTTTGGGCAGCTCTGACATCTTCAAATTATTTTGGGTGCTAGTGCAGAAGCTCGAAGTTGTGGACAGATTGTATCAATGTTTTCGGTCTTTATCTGTTAGTCTGCACTTTAGCCAAATATTATGCAAGTTTTGTCCTATAGATGTCAAGTCAGGGTGATGGCTCACGTGCCTGTTTTAGACTGTACTACGTCATATCAAAATCAATCTCTCAAAGCCCAACTTGACTGTGCACCAATTCTGTGCTTGCTTATCCTATAAAAAGTGACTAACTGCTAGGTAATCTTTAACTTTTAATACCCAGCAAAAATTGTTTATCAATCTTCAGTGTCCACTGCATATATTCCACCACGGAGTCACATATATGTCTGAATCTCAACCACATTCACCCCAGCATACCTCAGGATGGCTGGATATGCAGCTATCTTCAGATTCTGACTTGCATGGCAGCTCTGATCATACAAATCATGGAATCTACAGATCACCATCAACTTCCCCTTCACCCACATGCATAACAGAGACCTCTGAAGATGGCTTGAACTTTGGCACCTTCCAGATTGATGGATCTCCTACAGCCAACTTGGAAAACTTGC